TTTTTTTTTCCTTTGAGTGCATCTCATTTCACCCCATCTAAGAATGCAATGTGCACAAAAGAAAAAGCCTCTTAGATACCTCATAGATCTTTTCCTTCATTCAAATGCTGATTCAAAATGTAGGGACTCCAAACTGGCAAAATTGCTTTGGAATTACCTTTCCCAGTTTGAAATTTGCTTCCAAGAGACAGTCATCCTCACACAAGTAGCTAAATTAATGCATCTTAAGGAATACTCACCTCTAAGCTGAAACTAAATAACCAAGTGCATGCCCTGAGGGTTTTAAGCCACCTGGATATTACAGAGCAGCTTTCCAAACTGTCTTCCAGATCCGCCCCAAACCTTTTTTTTTTCTTTTTTTTTTTTTTTTTTTTTTTTTTTATTTTGTAGCTGAATCTGTGGCTCTAATCTACAGAGGACAACAATGATTTCTATCAAGGCTTGAGGACACAGAGCTGCTTGGCCAAGAGCAGGAGATTATATTGACATTTTCCAAAGCAAGAGGACAAGAACTGAGCTAGCTGGTTAAAAAAAGTGTGTTTCATGTCAACCCCTCCCTGACAGCTTCACGTGCACTGACTGGGGAGTTCAACCCTGTACGGAGCCCATCTATGAACTAGGAGGCTCGAATAAGCTCTGAAAAGGAGACAGGGTTAAAAACCCAAGCTCCCATGAATCCAACTGGGAGACAACCCAGAGCATTTACCCCAGAGCTAAAGAGAGACAAAAAGACCAATTTAGGATGATAAAGCAAACACTGTGCCAGCTTTGCCATTGCTTGTGGAAGGCCCTTATCACAAAGGTCACTTGCATCTTATTTTCTATTTCTAGCATACATTATGCCAAATAACTTCCTTCCCTCCACTCAAAACAACGCTGACACAGCAACGCCACACTCAGGAGCAAGTACTCCAAGCTGCTGCAATCAGAAGGGTTTTTAACAAATAGTGTTAAAAAAAGATATGCTAAGCCACTGCAGAATTAGGAGTGTGGACTGTTTAAGGAAGATAGGAGCACTAGTCTCAGCACCTCTTAGCAGAGCATCATCAGATACTGCTAAGCCTTAACCCCAGAGCAGAAATCCTACGGGGCATTTAACATTCACTCCTTCCTGCCTAATCCTTCCCTTTACATGAGTCACTCAAAACACAGTCCAGGGCTAACCGCAGTGTATTAGCGGGTTTGAAAAAGTAATTTGGAGCAAAATCACAGCTTTAGAAAGAAAGGAGATGTGGGAAGAGGCAGAAGATGGGACAGGATGGGATGCTGCTTGAAGCCAAGACGTTTGGAGTGCACCAGGGCTGGCTCTGTAATCAGGGTCACCCAGTTCTGGGTGCATACGGGGTACCACTATTTGCCCCATTATTTGAGAAGGGACCCAACCGTGGTGGGCACCCACATGGAGGAGGAACGAGTAGGAAGCATGTAGACATCCAAGGAGAAGAAATGACGGAGGGGACCTGCCATACCACACAGAGAGCATCTTCCAATGGAATTAGGGGGACATTCAGGGCTGTGCTGCAAACTGTCCAAAACTGCTGACAGCTGTATTGACAGGTCTGTGTTTAGTCCAAACTGAAGGTCACTGCAGTCCCATTCTTACTAAAAGAAAGATTTGGATCTCCTAAAGATGACCTCTGATAATTTATGACCTTGGATATCATTGTAGCTGATGGATGCCCCTTCAGGATCATGGATGAGTGCCAACTTGGGAAGCTCTAGCTGCTTTTCCAGCTCTGCTCCCCCAGAAGGCCACCTTTCCCCTTGCCCAAGCCTAAGGGAAGTAACCAATTCAGCCTATCAACCTCCTGAGCTGAGGCTTCATTCAAGGGGAAAAAAAGAAAAAGTGTAAAAAAAAACACTCTGATGATTAAACTGCTGAAGCCCATCTCTCACCAGGCAAAAGTACCATTTTGTCAATGCCACCTCCAAAGAGGTCAGTAATAAAAAATAGATAAGTAAACAGCTATGAAGCTTCCTTATATTAATACCCAGAACTAAGAAATTGACCCTGCTTGAGCAGGAAGTTTGGACTAGATGATCTCCAGAGGTCCCTTACAACCTCAGCTCTTCCATGATACTATGACAGAGATGGAGGGCTCACAAAGATAGGGCTCTGCCATTCCCTTCATCCCACTCCTGTCTTCTTGCATGTCTATAAAACACATGTAGAAATATTTCTTAGAAAAGGAGCAAGAATATTCATAAAGATCACATTGCTGGACTAAAGGATGGTTCTTGAAACAGCTCGTCTAGGATCCTCTCTAAACTGGCCTTCTCAACTGAGCTCAACATTCGCCTCCAAGGAATGACTT